TGCAAATGGTAGGAGTTCCTTTCTTTTTACAGCAGCATAGTATTCCATTGTGTAGATGTACCACAGTTTTTTAATCCACTCATCTGCTGATGGGCACTTAGGCTGTTTCCAAATTCTTACCTATAGTAAATTGTGCTGCTATGAACATCTGGGTGCATATATACTTTCTGATTGGTGTTTCTAGTTTCTTGGGATATATTCCTAGAAGTGGGATTACTGGATCAAATTGGAGTTCCATTTTTAGTTTTTTGAGGAAACTCCATATTGTTTTCCACAGTGGCTGCACCAGTCTGCATTCCCACCAGCAGTGCATGAGGGTCCCCTTTTCTCCGCATTCTCGCCAGCACTTGTCATTTGTTGATTTGTTGATGATAGCCATTCTGACAGGTGTGAGATGGTACCTCATTGTTGTTTTGATTTGCATCTCTCGGATGATTAGGGACTTTGAGCATGTTTTCATATGTCTCTTGGCCTTCTGTGTTGTCTTTTGAAAAGTGTCTATTTACGTCCTTTGCCCATTTTTTGATTGCATTGTTTATCTTCCTTTTTTAAGTTGTATGAGTTCCTTATAAATTTTGGAGATTAAATCCTTATCGGAGATAACATTGGCAAATATGTTCTCCCATGCAGTGGGCTTTCTTGTTGTTTTGTTGATTGTTTCTTTCGATATGCAGAACCTTTTTATTTTGATGTAGTCCCATTTGTTTATTTTCTCTTTAGTTTCCATTGCCCTAGGAGCTGTATTGGTAAAGATATTGCTACAACAAATGATCATTTTCTCTTTGGTGAAAAGCATGGTTCCTAATAATAATAACATAATTGCTTATTTATTTTTCCCTAATATGTAATAGTTTCAAAATAACAGTACCAAAATTATACCTAATTGTAAAATAGCTAATTGCAGTTTGATAAAGCTAGGTTTGTTTAAGGTTGTGTTCAAACCTAGGTTGCTTAATTGACAAATAATTAAATCCAATGTGGAAAAATAAAGCAAGCCTTAAATATTTCTAACTTTTTTAGTGCAATATCTAACTTATTTTTATTTCTCTCATTTTTATTGATGTAAATATTTAAATCTACAAATTTTACTCGGAACATTCTTTAGCAGTATCTCATAGTTTCTGATGTTGTTTCATCATGTTTTTTTTTCTAGAAATTCTCAATATCAGTTGGTATTTCCCCTTGAGCCAAGTTATGTTTAATAGAAAAGTTAACAATTTCAAGGTGGTAAGGCTTTCTTATGTTTTGATTGTTATGGATTCCTACCTTTATTATATAATTGATGGAGAATATGACTTGCATTTTTTATGCAATTTATTGAGCTATACTTTTTTCTATATATAAGGTATAGAGTCAATTATCATAAATGTTTTTTGTATAATAATTTTTTTCTTGGGCTAAGAGAAGTGCACTGATGTCTGCTATTCTGTATGTATTTCTGTTTTCTTGGAATCTTTCCTTGTAGTTTCTGCTACATGAAAGAAGGTACTGCATTATTTGCTGTAAATCTTTCATAAATATTTTATTTTCACTGTGAATTATAGCCTTTAGCATTATAATATATCCTTTGTCTTAGTAATGATTTTGATCTAAATTCTACTTAATTGGATTTCAAAACCTCAGTTCATTATTTTTATTTGCATTTTGTTGGTATACCCTTTCCATTTTTTTGTCAGTTAGCATTTCTGAATTATTTTGTTTTAGGTGTGTCTTTGTCTTTCTTTGCAACATAGAGTTGGGTGTTGCTCTGTTCTTTTAATGGCAAAGATAAACACTCTATTGTTGATATGTTTTGTTTCACATATCTCACCTCATATTATATTTATGTATGTAATATCTAGCATCTCTAATGATGGCAAGTGCTAGTGAAGAGATTAAAGAGGAAGAGGGGATAGGAAATTTGGGGTGGAATAGTCCATTTAAGTAGGTAGTCAGGGGAAGCCTCACTGAAAAGGTGACCTTTGCACAAACTGATGAAGTATATGCATGAATAAGCTATTTGGATAAGTAAGGTAAGATTTATCCTGAGGGAGAGAACTGCTGAAGCAAAGACCCTGGCACACGAGGCTACCTGGTGGGTTTTCAAAGAACAGCAAGGAGGCTGGTGTGACTAGAGTGGAGTAAACAGGAGAATAGTAGGAATTTAGCCAGAGGGGAGGAATCTAGAGAATCACCCTGAGCCATCAGTCTTAGAAAGAGCACAAGACAACCCCTTCAAGAGGAGTTCTGGTGTCAGGTGTTGAAATAACATTACTTCCACCATCTTGCAGTCATAAATGAACTCTGAGGGGATACATTAATAACTCTGGGAACTCCAGCCTAGGAAGGAGAGGAAGCCAGGCTTACGGGTGTATTATTTTGGGATGCAATCCAAATTATGCATGAAAGCAGTT